CAAATCGTTCCTCTTTATATTAGTATAGATACCTTAATGAATCATTATGATTGGCCTTGTATAATCATGATTCATTCGTGATCTGTTGAGGTTATTTTGAGTAACAGGTTTATCTTAGTTAAAATATTATTATAGAAAACAGCAAAACTTCGGTCTACGTCGGGTCATATACACTCTTTAGGCCACAAACTTAGCCTTAATTAAGAACTAAGTAATTCATTCTAGCTATTTTATAAGAACTATTGGGCTGATACAGTAGGTTTTAATCCTCTTTCTCCTTCTATCTGAGTCGTTTCTCCCTTCTTGATCCAATACACCCATCTCTTTCTAGGCCTTATGTACCTCCCTCCACAAACTATGTTGATCACTAGCTGTCACCCGCGACTTCGTCCACGCAATATTAAGATAAAAAAGTAGCCTATAATATGACCGTCTAAGTCAGCTACCCTTCACTGAAAGTCAGATAGAAATCGGCCCAGCCGTTTCGGAGATTTCCTGGAACAAACGCGGCTTGCGGACAGACAGACAGACAGACAAAAAACCTTAAATGCGATTTTCGTTAACAGCAAAGCGAATACATCATCTTCCCGAAATCTGGAATTCTTCTTTTGATAATAAAAAAAACACTTCAATTTTATTATATGTATAAATTTATATCACCAAAATTTAGTGTCGCCAAAATCAGTAGATAGTTGCCATGGTTATACAGAAATAGGGCTATTACATATTTTAAATATCTGGTTACATGCAGGAGCCAGTTTCTCTAAGTTCCGATGTCATGATTGCGTAACGTAGCCAAGTTCCGATTACGTCCCCACTCATTGTTTTGTCGTGTAATATCTTTTTAATTTCTCACCGTCTGTTGTCTATATGAAAAATAATCAAGATTATATTTCATATTGGTGTTGAATATGATATCGTTTCATTATAGATTGATTCGAAATTTAATTACGTTAATCCTAACCATGGTGACATAACCAAGTTTCATATGTCCATTTTGGAGTAAACTACTCTATGACTGTTACATCAAAGACTAGTTTTTCCAGACTTGCAACATGTAATGTGAGCTTCCTGTCTGTAGATTGCACCTGCTTATTTCTGACCTAAAAGTCTTGAGTACTTGTCACGGATAATCTTACTTCTTACTAATGTTATAAATAAAAAAAAATATGTATGGATGTTTCTTAGAGTTTGTAGCCTAAACTGCTGAATGGATCTCAATTATATTTGGCATAGATGTAGAACGAAGTCTGAAAGAACACATAGACTACTGACTTTTACTTTTTTCTTAATTCCACAGGGACGGAGTCGCGGGCGAAAGCTAGTATTTTAATATTACTAACTAAGTTAATTTGGCATAGATGTAGAAAAAAGTCTGGAAAAACACAGACTACTTACTTTTGTTTATTTTTTAATTTCACGCTGGTTATCTAATAATTTGAAGGCTTACAAAATTTACTATTTGAAATCCACGACTCATTGGCAATGAAAAATTGATTATTATACTTTCTTAAATATTTTAACCAATCGATTGCATAATAAAGAAAAGTGTTGACAATTGTTCATCGATCGTTCCGATTTAAAATTTATTCCCACCACAAACAAGCTCTAATTCGATTCGAAAGTGACCACAGACAAAGTACCATCGTTCCGGCTATGGATTATGATTTTTGTCGTAAGAATTTCTCTGTTACTGCGGTGACATCTTGTATGTAAGGTTGGACTTTTGTAAGTATTGAAATAACGGAAACTACTCAAGCGATTTTATTTTTTCACCATTTAAAAGCTACGCTATAAGTGAGTAACATAAGCTTTTTTTAATTTCATACAGACGAAGGCGTAGGCAACAACAAGTTTTAGTAATAATTTACTCTGACAGATAGATTTTTTGATTCGTCATCGCATCGCTTGACTTAGTTGCATATCTATCTCCCATTAGCGTCTCAAAGATGGTTCTTTATAACAATAATTATAGCCTATGTTACTCAGTGGTTATGTAGCGTTCTAATGGTGAAAGGAGTTTTAAAATCGTTCCCGTAGTTTTTGAGTTTATCAGTAACAGACATTAAAATAATTCTTAAGTGCAGATTTCAAATGAACATCAAATTCTGGACATGGCGGCTTTTTTGGGAATAATCGATTTTTACCAAAAACAATACCTTTTTTTACCTAATAGTAAAAGGTGTAAATCGAGTAAGCGACCACCGGAATTCTCAAAATAACGGACAACCCATGGACATCCGCATTTGCAGTTGCGTTGCCTACCTTTAACCAAGAGATGGGAAACAGAGAGACATTTCCCTTAATTGAACGTTTCCCCTTTCCCAAACTTTGTGAGATTGATTGCTCATTTGTTTTTTTTTTTAAACTAGCTTTCGCCCACGACTTCTTTCTCGTGAGATTTAAGATGTAAAAGTAGCCTTTGCGTTTTCTAGACTATCCTCTACATCTATGCTAAACATCGAAATCCATTCAGCAGTTTAGACAAACAAACATCCATCTAAACTTTCGCATTTATAATATTAGCAACATTGGAATTTATAATTACCGATTCGATAGTTAGACAACGAATCATTACGTAAATAACTTAGGTCATTCAAGTTACAACTCGGTCTTGTTTATTGAAGGTTAAACAATGGCCGCGTTAACCTCATTGAATTAAACCGTATCGATAGTTAACTGTTACGTCTACAGTTAGTTACCGTGTGTTAAACTGTTACTGGTGTTACACAGTACATTGTTATACAAGTTGTATTTTATTTATTTACTAGCTGTTCCCTGTTATTTTATTGTTTACAATCTTGCTTCCTTGATGTTGGCAGCAACTGGTCTCTTTCCCACATTAGGGTTTTTATCCAAAATATTTACCTACTAAGTTCAATGGCGTGAAAATATATAGCCTAAAGCGTGACGTAAGTGTAGGGCTTTTTTTTTAAATATTCAAAAATATGATGTAATTGCTGACATCTTAGGCAACAAAGAAATTTGTGTTTACGCTTTATTATAATAGTATTGATACCAATTGCATGTTCAAAATTCACAACCAAATTAAGTATATTATAGAAAAAGAAAAACCAAAAAAAAAAAAAACAAAACAGACGACAGGTGTACTTACAAGAGATTTTTTTTTAATAACAAACGTTGAATCAGATAACTATCACACACATATTAAACAAAAAATGAAGACAAAACAATAAAAGAATAAAAAAAAAAAATCGCGACATGGAGTTCCGAAAAATGTCAACATGACAACCATTGGCTAAAAAATCGTTAAAGCTGCTGGAGATTTTATTACAGGAAATAAATGTGATTATGAGAACGAACATACCTTTGACTAAACTATCGTACAACTGTTTAGTCTTTAGTTTACATATATGAGTGACGTCATCAAATATTTCCGCAAGTAACAATGACCTTAAACCGCGTACCCATGCGTGTGACCAACCATGCTTGACCCTTGCTTCGTCTACCGTGACTATCAAAACGGACGATCAAGAAACGTAAGTCGAGAGAACTGTTCAAAACATTAGCTTGACCTGTCGAACTGTTCAGTTCAAACTGAAAGTCTGTAGTGACATTTAGAGCGGGCGCCTTGACTAAAGCATCGCATTATTGTTTTACGATTGTCAACTGTTTCGCATCCAATTCAACTGTTTAGTTGCACAACTAATAATCGAGTTGTGGGCACACCTCCATATAAGGTTATAGGAATCAAAGCGAGACTAAACAGTTATGCGATAATTTAGTCTACGGCGGGCACGCTCTTGCTAGAAACGAGTCAATGTGGTACCGGGTTAATGTAACAGATTGTATCATCTAATATAGAGATTATAAATTCTCTTGCCTTAAATTAAGGTTCAAATTGCAATGTAGGTTATAAGAACGTCTTGAATTCGTTTTATAAAAATGCAAAGTTATACTATTATGTAGTAGGAATAGAGTTTGTTTTTCTAAAGCACACGCAAATTTAGTCTTTGAATTAAAGTAAAAATATTTTTTTTCTATGTTTATATTAATTGTTTAGATTCTATTATTTCTATTGAATACGACTGTTATGCAATTGTTATGATGTTCTGGTAGTTTTATCGATTATAATCGATTTTTTTTGTTTTTGTTTTGTCTCGATTTCACACTTTCACTGTCTCGATTCTCTATTGTATTATAAAAAAATCTGGATTATATATTTATTTTTAAACTACGACAATAAGATTGACATTTGGAATAGTATGGTTAATATTAATCCAAAGTGAGTGTCTTTATATAAAAACTAGCTGTTACTCGCGACATCGCCCGTGTGAAACTAAAAAAAATTGCGTAAGCTACTCACACATATATTATCTTTGTAATGGTGAAAGAATTTTTGAAATCGTCCGTAGTTTTTACGTGAATCGAATACATACATAAATCCAAAAATACAAATCTTTACTCTTTATAATAAAAGTATAGATTACCACTTAGTTATTCTTTGACATTTTTACATTTGTCAAAGAATAACCAGCAGCTAAACCGGTTTAATCTGCATTCCAATTATAATCAAATATTAGGTAACTAAACTTGACATTAAAACTTATTTGCATTTTTAGATGAGGTTGTTTTAACACGTTTTATTCATAAACACTAATAAAAAAGTTAATTAATTTGCAAGAACGCCTACTGAAACTTCGACGATATTTCCAAAACATTGGCCACATCCATTGGGGTTGGTGTTCCCGCCGTTATTTGTTCCGCTTCTCTTCGAAAAGAATTGATTTTTTTCAAATCTTACTTCTTACTAATATTATAAATGCGAAAGTTAAGATGGATGGATGAATGGATGTTTGTTAGAGTTTGTAGCCTAAACGAGTACGGAGCTCGATGAAATTTGGCACAGATGTAGAGTTTGGTCTGGAAGAACACATAGGCTACTTAGTTTTTTTTTAATTCCACGCAGACGGAGTCGCGGGCGAAAGCTAGTTACTAATACTGTGTGTTATACTTAAAGTGTCATTTTCTCGTTTCAGATTTCCCTTTAACGCCGTGAGATGAAAAGGAAAAGTCAGCTATAAAAATATAAACAATGCGCGCGCATCGAAAGTTCTATTGTTCCAATTAGAATAGAGGCACATAAAACCTCTTTGGAGAACATGTGACGTAACGCCATCTAGCGGTGAACGGATGTACTAAGTGAAAGTGATTGTGACTTGAATCAAAATGAAGTTGAACCTATTCAAACGTTCCATGATATTTGCGACCTTCTTCGGGTCGTGTTTATGCATTGCCCTGATCGTAGGGTCTCTAGGGACGACGCATTGGGTCGACGCAAAGGCCAAAAGGGCCCCCAATCCGTTGGAGTCTGAAGGACAGATTAGCTTTGGTCTGTTCGAAGGTCACAAGGCCCTGAATGCTGGAGTAGGACGAAGATATTATGATTTTAGCGGTGAGTTATTAAAGTATGTTTTTAGTAAAACTTACGTAAGTCGAATCTAATATTTCTGTTATTTACATAAAAGATTGCTGTTGCTCGCGACTTCGACCGCGTGACATAAATAAAAAATTTTAAAAATGTAACCTTTGTTACTCAGTGATAAGATAGCTTTTTAATGGTGCAAGATTTTTTTCAAATCGGTCCAGTAGCTTTTCAGTTATTTTAATACATATAAAAATGCAAATCATTCCTCTTTATAATATTAGTATAGACATATTTTAATATTATATATAGTATAGAAAAAGAATCGTATTTGGTGAATGTTTGATGAGTGTGGGCACGTGGATATAGGTAGACCTAGAAAGAGATGGAAGGATTGCGTGAAAGGTGACATGAGCAGAAGGGAATGACAACTGACTGACGAAAATAAGTTGCTACATGAGTAGTTTAAGGAGGATGATGTTTTAGAAGTGAACTATTACAGCATTCATTTACTACTAGCTGTTCCCGTGCGGCTTCATCCGCATGAAATGGTGAATATTTTATTTTATTGTATACATTTGTGAAATTATCAATAGCAAATGTCAAAATGACGACATGAGACATCTCGACAGTCTTGCTTCCTTGATGTTGATAGCAACTTATGGTCTCTTTCCCACATAGGGTTTTTATCCAAAATATTTACATCCTAATGGTGAAAATATATAGCCTAAAGCGTGACGTTAGTGTAGGGCTTTTTATTATATCAAAAGTTATTCGAAAATATGTTGTAATTGCTAACATCTTAGGCAACAAAGAAGTGTGTGTTTACTCTTTATTATATTAGTTTAGATATTTTCGTGGATTATGTATTAATTCAGAAATATTGTGTTGCAGTGCGTTCAGGCACGCACCCAGCGCGGCGCTGGGCGTGGTGCGGTACGGCGGCGCAGCTGGGCGTGGCGCTGGCGGCGGCGGGCGGCGCTTGCGTGCTCGCCGCACTCGCCTCCGCCTCCCGTGCGCGCTGCTCGCCCAAACCACTGCTGCTCTGTAACTCCGCGACAGGTAACTTACAGTACAGCTTGTTAAACTTTCCTTGTGGAAACTTCAAGATGGGGATCTAGTACTAAATCATTTGTTATACATTAATGTTCAAAACAAGATAATATTCTTGAACCCGCATTTACAACGCGAGCACTCCCAATTTTTTTAAACGTTTGAAGACTCCTGGACTCTGAGATCGAGGAGGTGGTAGAGTCCACCATCAATAATAAATTTTACATGCATGACCTGTTCTTGTGGTGCGAGCTAGAGTAATTTTAACCCTCTTCACCTTTCTACCTTTTTTGTGTAAGTAAAGAATGGGAAAAGAGAGAACGTATAGGTAGGGGAAATAGCGTCACATCCTATGTTGATGAAAGTAGACTATACAAGCAAATGCGGATACCAGGGCTGTCACAACTAAATTGGTGAATTCCCGTGCTCTTTTACTAGTTTGTGACATGTAAAAAATAATGTGTTTTTAAATATCGTTTCTCTCTATCGCACTCCATACTTTTCATGAGCCTCTCTTTTCAGTGTTATGCTTTATCTAGGGCTGTCACTTTACTAAATCTCTTTTGATATATCTATAGAAAATAGTACGCTTGTTAATATCTTACCTCTCTATCGCTCTGCATCCTTATCATGAGTTTCTCTTTCCAGTGTTATTCTGTCTGGGGTCACTGTCGGTGTGGCTGACGGAGTTCTTCCTCCGTCTGCAGCACAACGTGATGTCGGAGGAGGATCTTGCCAACACCTGGTCTTCTGATGGCATGGCTGACCTGGGCATCTCGTTTTGGTAAGGATTTTAGGGAAAATATGTTGAAATTACCTTTAAAAGGATATATATTCAAATACACTTCAGTTTAAATAGCTTACGGGCTTAGATATATATATTTTTTTTAATAAAATAAAAAAAGAAAATCAAGAAACTCTATGTAATCCAGACTATGTTCTACATTTGTGACAAATTTCATCCAAATTTGCTAAGCCGTGTTGGTGATACGTTACAAACGTCCATCCATCCAAACTTTTGCATACTAGTATGATAACAGACTACTGAAACTCAGAATTGTTAATAGATCGCTAAGGGAGCCCTATAGCAGAAAAAAAATAATTTTACCATTCTAACTAGCACTTTACTAGAAATGGTTTACTATTAAAATGGAATGTTCTAGTTTTCGCCCGTGACTGTCCGCGTTGATTAAAAAAACACAAAAGTAAATCTATGTGTTCTTCCAGACGATCTATTCCAAATTTCATCGAGATCTGTTCATCAGTTTAGGCTACAAACTGACATCAATCCACCTCAATTCGTATTTAAATTATTAGTAAGACCAGCTGTCGCCCGCGACTCCGTCCGCGTTTAAATAAAAACAAAAGTGAGTAGTCTATGTGACTGTTCTTCCAGACTATCCTCTACATCTATACCAAATTACATCGAAATCTACATCTTTAGGCTACAAACTCTAACAAACATCCATCCATCTAAACTTTCGCATTTAAGATGTATTACTATACCATTATAGGTTAGTGGTAGCGGCAGCTATCTCCGCGTTTATCAACAATGTCTGCATTTTGATAGCAATGGCGGATAGCCGCGACGCTGATACTATCGCGCCCGCGTTAGAAGAGAAAGTAAACGGAGCTATCATGTTATACTGACCGTGTTGTACGCTTAGTTACTATGCGTGTACTATAACATGATACCTGATTTACTAATTGTGGAACTTTGGGTGGGTTGGTGTATACTTACTCGACTTACAAATGGGTAATTTATGTATGTTAACTTGATTGATTTAACCGATTTTAATTAATTTCATAAGAATACAAACCAACATAAAAATATATGTGTTGTGAATATTACTCTTTTTTGTAATTCGGATAATAGGGTGTCATGTTTCTGTACACGGATAGCATTTTATATAGATCTGTTCAGACTGAGTTGTTTAGGAAATTTACAATATAACAGACAGTAGTTTCCAACGGTTTATCGAATTAATCGGTAATTTGTATCGATTGAATCGAGATATCGATTTTAGATGTTTGTCGAAATAATTTGTCTTTTTATGATCAAATATTCAAATATAAAACAAATTATAGAGCGGACATTACTTTAATGTTTTCAGTTATTTAGTACCTATCGATTCATTAATATTATGTTAACCTATGTAAACTTGTTACCGACAGCGCGGCAGCCAAAAATACAAAAAAAAATACTTTTCTTGAACTAACACATCTTTGTTCAAACTTATTTACATATTTACAATTAACAAAACTATGTCGCGATCACATTACGTGAGCGTCTTTTCTTTCTCTAGTTTTTCCCATCTTTTTATAGTGTGTCTAAATAAGATAGATTAGTTTGATAAATGATGCATATGAAGTATCGAATTCAATTTGTATGAAGGTAAATGCCATACTTAATAGACAGGTATCGTAGTGACGAAACAAAAACACATAGCGAACAATTATGAACTATCGATATTCGGTTTAAATAATTACCAAACTCAACTAAAATTATTATTTTCTTTTTAACTAATTTATAAGACAATTCTAGTATTGATTATAGTGTAGAGAATATAGCGATGACAGTAAAAGCGAAATCCAATTCGATTACGTACGGCTGTAGTAGTAATAAACATTTATTTACTCTTATTATTTGTTATGGTCATTATTCATTTGAGAAAACAGTGTTTTTATTTTAATTCATAAGTTATAACTATAAATCTATCGATTCCAACTTCTATAAGAATAAAAATCGAATATCGATAAGATTCATTACTGATTTTACGCAACCCATCCCTACTAAATTTGAAATGAATTGTCAAACTAATCTAAATTATTTAGACACACTATAATAACAAATAATGTAAACGTTTTGGTGGCCAGTATGCAACCTCTTTGGCTGTATTCCAAAGAGGTTGTATTTTGCATTCAACAGAGTCGTTCCGGATATATCTTCTAAGAAACATCCATACATCCATTTACTTTTGCATTTGTTACTAAGATTATAATGTTTACGAAGTAACCAAGACCGTTAATACAGTTTCTTATAGAACCACATTAAGTACTTTGATTTATTAAGATCTTAAGAAACTGCGTTAGTAACGACTCATCTTTGAGAGACTCTTATTTTAAAAATTCAGCTGAACTCGTAATGTCCTTTCTATGTCTGTTTATAACAAGATTTTTATTTGTCTGTTATATTGTTATTGTATATTTTATGTGTTTTTCAGGATAATGTGCATGGTCAATAATAGTGTTTAAAATATTAAGGGCCTGTCCCACCATATTGTATTGAGGCATGAGATTTGATATCTGATTGCAGATAATAAAATGATTCCTGTCTCTTTTGTCAACGAGAATGAAAGAGATGACGATATGTAATACACTAGTGGAGTTTAGGGATTATTGCAAATGAAATTGAACTTTATGTCATTGTAAAAAGGTTCAATTTTATTTTGCATGAAACCAAGCGCAAAATTACGTTATAAGTAAAATTAAACCTTATTTCATTTTTGTAAAGTTTAATTTTATTTGCGAATAAAATCACCAATCACATAAATGTTAGTTTTAAATGTTTGTAAATAACAAAATATGTTATATTTAAAGGATTTTGATAATGGCTTTTATATTTTTAGGTTAATTTAAAAATAACTAATCTAAATAAACCAACGTATGGCGACGCCCATGTATGGTAACATCCATCCATACTTTCTCCATTTAAAAGTAAGAAATGTAATGTATGTAACTAAGTCCGTCCAATAAATGTGACTAACCTACGGTAATTTACACATAAGTTTTATTAATTATTTACTACTGAAATATTAAAAATATATAATCTATGTAATTCTTTTGAATACATAATTTCAATTTTATCTTAAAACTAGCTGTTCCCATGCGACTTCATCCGCATAAAATTATAAAAATTTCATTTTATTGTTCACATTTGTCAAATTTTCAATTGCAAATGTCAAAATAACATGACATTACAAACCTTAGCAATCTCATTCTTGATGTTGGCAGCAACTTATGTTCTCTTTCCCACATTAGGGTTTTTGTTCAAAATATTAACCTTCTAAGTTTAATGGCGTGAAAATATCTAGCCTAAAGCGTGACGTAAGTGTAGGGCTTTTTATTAAAAAAATAATTATTCAAAAATACGCTGTAATTGCTGACATCTTAAGCAACAAAGAAGTTTGTGTTTACGCTTTATTATAATAGTATAGATAAAATGTTCTTAAATTGCACAGAATCTCGTAAACTTAAGTTCTTTTGCTCAAAAGATTTGTCATATTCAGTTTTATAGTTGTGCCATTAGATTAAGTTTTTATTATAATAACAGTATTTTATATTTAATTTCTATTTTATTTGTATTATGGAATTAAATATTTTTGTGTATTCTGATGTTTTATTTTACTACTAGCTTTTGCCCGCGACTCCGACCGCGTAGAACTAAACAAACCTAAAGTGAGTAGCCTATATGTTTTTCCAAATTAACCTCTACGTCTATGCCAAATTTCATCAAGATCCGTTCATTCGTTTTGGCTACAAACTCTAACCAACATCCATCCATCTAAACTTTTGCATTTATAATATCAGTAAAATAATTATTGATGTCCACCGATTTGAAAATTTATATAAAAATATTCTTAGCAAACTCAATTTGTTTTTCATTTTTTTTGCGTATATCAACAATTACTTAAAAAAGCAATCCTTATAATGAAAGCTTACTATATTTAAATAACTAGCTTTTACACGTGATTTTGTCCGCGTAACATAAAAAAATGACAATAAAAAGGTTGGTAACTAAAAGTCCCCGACGAGGATGGGATTCGAACCCACGCGTGCAGAGCACATTGGATTAGCAGTCCAACGCCTTAACCTCTCGGCCACCTCGTCATGTACAACGCACTTAAAACTGAATTACCGTAGGTTCCCACTGCACATTTGAACCTATTGTCAACTCTTATGGGTTAAAATTCATAATCGATCGATTATAAGAGTGGGTGCACACTGTTGTGCGTTTGTCGATTGTTTCGCAGCCAACTCAACTGTTTAGCACAACTAAAAATCGAGTAGTGTGCGCACCTCCATATAAGCATATAGGAATCAAAGCGCGACTAAACAGTTGTTCGATAATTTAGTCAAAGGTAAACATCAAAATCCAGATATCGAAGAACATGATTTATCATTTCATATTATCGACGATGGAATTTATTATTATTCTAATTGACTATATCGGAATTATATTGTCTTTATAAACGTATAAACATTGAAAATAACTTACATTAACTTGAACAAAGTAACTATTTCCATGCATCACACGTCCAGCCACAAAGCACCGTGGAAACCTACCTTTAGTTGCTCCTAAGTTCATTAGACCGGTTCAATAGATTCAATGAATTATCCACTCCAGTAAACTTCAAAGGTCCAGCCTTCCAAGATTGTTTAAATTTTACTAAATTAAATCCTGCACTAAAAATCATTAAATAATAACTGAAATAGTCCAATAATTAAATTACTTAAACATAAACTAAGAGCGTATGCACACATGAAACTAAATTATTCAACAACTGTTTTGTCTCGCTTTGATTCCTAGTAGAGTATATGACACACTACTCGTTTTTTAGTTGGGCAAACAAATGAATTGGCTGCGAAACAATCGACAATCGCACAACGGTTGTGCCATAGTATAGTTTCTGAAGTGCGTCTGCTCTTAATAAATATGTCTACACTGAAATAAAGTAAAAATACAGCTGCACTTACAAATATATTAAAGGAAGTTTGCGAGTAGCCCCAGAGGTTGAGAAAATAAGGAGTAAAAGGTTAGCATGGGCATGTTATGAGGAGGGATGAATCGCATGTAACAAGAAGGACGTTAGTTATGAATGTGGAGGGGTACACCGGTAGAGGTAGACCTAGAAAGAGATGGATTGCGTGAAAGGTGACATGATCAAAAAGGGGGTGATGGCTGAGATGACGGATGATAGAGTTATTTGGAGGACGAAAATCTGGTGCGCCGACCCTACGGGAGTAGGATAAGGCAGGGGAGATGATGACGGCTGCACTTTCAAAATTTTTTAAGAGCCTCTTATTCTAAAGATTTTGTCGGTCGATAGTTTGATCGTGATCGGATTGTCAAGTAAAACATAAAAATACAGACGAACTAGTAACCTTCTTCTGAGAAGTCTGTTAAAAGTCGCTGTAACGTAAACACCTCCATATATGTTCATACTTATTAAGCGTCCGAGTAACCTATCGGCCGTTTAAAAATAATGACTAACGGCAATTAACGGAACGTACTACTACTATAATTAACTTAAAAATAACAGATCTGTAATTCTACACAAATTGACTTATTCCCAACACGTATTCTCGATGTTAAGAAATCTCTAAATTCAGAAGTTGGCCTTAGGCGATTCCCATTTCAAACGGTCTCCACCCTTGGGACTAATGCGACAAATCGATTGAAAGATAAACTGTGTTCGAGTTCGGTAAACTGAGTGAAATCTGTCATAACTATTGGAACTCGAATTAATTTTAATACGAAGTAAACATCGAGAAAAATCGTAGTAAGGAATTGTAATAAAGTAAGTAGGCACTTTAGTAACTAGCTTTCGCCCGCGGCTTTGTCCGCGTGGAATTAAAAAAAAAACAAAAGCAAGTAGCCAGTGTTCTACACTATCCTCTACAACTGTGCCAAATTTCATAAAGAGCCGTACAGCCGTTTAGGCTACAAACTCTAACCAACATCCATCTATCTAAACTTTCGCATTTACAATATTAGTTACTTTAACATGTGGTTCACTCAAATTCTTCAGCGTTGATTTCTCACACTAAAACTATTCTAAGGAATATCCTTAGCTGCCATTAAACGACTAAGCTATACATTTAAACACAATATTGAACGTTTAATTGAAGTTACTGTAACTTTGTGAAATCAACAGCTTGTTCTAACACGATCTCTGATTACAATAACGTCAAACTTTGTTGATCTCAACTCGTAACAATGGTAAGCAAATAAAACTTTCCGCAAACATTAATGTTTAATAAACATTTAACGTCATAACAAAACACTAGGGTTACACATTTTAGGCTCTTTAGTGCATAGGATAGGGCCCTAAGCATCAATACCGAATTTCCGAGATGGCCGTAGAAATGTGCAGGACGAGCTATATTCGTAGCAAATCGTTAGGGGGTCACAATCGCGTTCCAAATGAAGATCCCGTGGCCCCTCGTTAGTCGGAGACCACCTTTGGGTTTTTAGTTGGTGCAAGCCCAACAGCACTCATCTTTACCCCTATAAAGTTGAGTATGCGTCTAGGCATTTCC